CGAGTTGCCACACATTTAACCCATACCGAACCACTCTTGTGCGTGCATAAAGCGAGGAAAAGGGCGTGTCGGACGACTTCTCACTTGCTGGTGCCAGCCCTTTCCCCTTATCACCTCACTATCAGCATTCGAAATAGAGAGAGAGCTCGTAGGAACAACCGCACTATCAGGTAGTAATTAAAAACGAAGGCTGGGCGTCGCCATGACTAGTGGGCGGGGCCGTGGTTTTGTCGCGAACGGATGGCGCTTTCCTCACCTTACTTTTGAGCTGGAGAAGTAGTATATCCTTCATACTTGCAAGCAAGACTACTATCTCCAGAGAAGGCGCCTGAACATCGACTGAACGCGGGACCTGCCTGACGGGCTCTGGCTTGGAAAGGTACTGGGTGAAGCCGTTACTGTTATCGCTGATGTCCACACTCTTCACTTTTGAGATCTGGAGTGGATCGTCGGTCAAAGAAAGAAATTGGTCCGCATAGTCCGTTTTCAACAGAAAAGGGTCACGCCGCACCTTGTAAAAGTGGTCCGGCCAAACCCCATGCAATGGGGATGAGTGACTGTCAACATTCATAAAGCCTACACCTTGTCCCTTCCTACTATTTCTTGTTTTATAAACAAGTTCGCTGCATCGATGGAAAATGCTTCACGAGCCACGCTCATCTCAAAATTAAAATGAATTCCTACTTTGCGTTGTGCTAGAATGCATAGTGAAGCGAAGACATCCTTGAGCTGCTCCAACGCTGACAGGAATTTACTCTTTGGTGCCAACGTAGTGGAGCTAGGTCACGTCTCCGTGTTCATTCTTTCCAGCCTAAGGTTTGGTTAGCAGAATGCCTAACCAGAAGCTTTAGTTAAGAGATTGGACGGAAAGACGATGTGTGATCCACTTCAATTACGTTAGTACCGGCATTGTTCTTGTTAGTTACTGCCCAATGTAGTGTGTGGCCTTGGCCAGAGAAATGAATCTTTCAAATGACCTCTATATTCGTGCTTCACCTTATTACAGCTTACGGTAAAAGCTTACCTTTTTCTTGAGACGTTTCCAATTGAGATGTGGTAATCGGAGCGGTGAATGCTTTCTGAAATCAAGCATGGGTTTCAAAATACTTTAGTTTTCAGTGAAATGAACGATAAGTCCTCCTGATCAAACCGCATAGCTATCGGCGTTTTAAATGCTTTTTGCTAAATAAGTTTCACATGGAACTCGTAACAGAGACCATCTTCACGTAAAGCGAGAGGTGTGGTTGGAGTTACGGCTGAAGCGAAGGTTTATCATGAATCCCCCATACGGCATCAAGAATGGCGGTTAAAGTATAGCAGGAACAAAGGCTAGAGACTACCGTCCCGTAAAAAAGAAAAGGAAACGCAGCGGAAAACGTACTGTGTGTAAAGGACAAGGTGACAGAAAGTCCTCTTCCTGCGCAAAAAGGCTATGTCAGGCAAACGTTGGGAGATGCAGCGTAGCATAATCCTGCTCTACAGTAACTTTACAGTTTCCTTACCATACACGGCGCTAGCCAAGTAACTGCGTACTATCCTGTGCACAGACTTAGGCCTAAGTACAATCCATATCGTAAGGCAGGGATGGGCGTGATTGACAAGCACTTGTGAGCAGTTCATTTGAACGTGGCGCAAGATGCGTTTTTCGTGAAATATTTCCATCTGAGTACAGTTTGTAATTCCTTGCCGTGACCGTTGAATAAGACTCATTGGTGAGAATCCTGCCCAGCATTGGAGTAATATCTCATCATAAGCGCGGCCCGTTCGCCACGTTCGATAGAATCAGCTACGCAACCACGCCTACTCTATCCCCGGGATATCGAGTGTAGTTACCTAGATCACGAGCGTTACAGAAGGTTGTTTCTCAACGTTAGCCGGTTCTACATTGTAACTCTGAGTAACTCTGACGCTATTTTGAGGGGGTGTTATACTCGAAATCTCTGACATACAGTCGTCATCCTTGCACTTGATAGGGGCGTGTCTGGCAAGACCCCGCGAGCGTGACACTGTTTGAAAGCCTTCTCAGCCTTTATCGTCCTGAAGACTGTATTGCGACAAAAAGTGATAGAAAACGAGTAACACGAAGGATATAATACAGTAATGTCACTTCCTGGTTCAACGATTGGTGCAGTACGGGTGCGGGCGACCGCGCCGCACGCAGCCGCACTGACATTGACTATCAAGTGCAAGGATGACGACTGTATATAGGACGCACTACGTACCTCAACTAAACGTGCGCAGTTTGTGTTTTCAGAAAAAAGTAATTTCATTTAGACACAGCTGTGATCGTGTCTATGTCCAGCACTGAACGACATGGCAGTTGTTCCAAGCTGAGATATCGCACGAGTGTGCTATTCTGTGCCATGTTCGAATGCCACGCCTACTACATCTCTGGGATAAGGAGTGTACAGTCGATCTACTCTTTCCGTCCGTTCAACTCCCTGGATGGTGCGTGTTTCTCAATGTTATTTCATCATTGCAAGCATTTCCAAGGTCCATTCAAACTTACTGGCTCTCTGCAGATGCCAGCGAGGCTAGACTGTTCTTTCGAGCATTTTGAAAACTTTCTGGAATTGGTATGTCAAATTCTGGAAGACCTTTCTTTAGCCGCCGTTCTGCCATCGCACTGCGTCGTTTGTTCCGAGCTGAAATTCATGATTTCATCAACTTTTTCATAGAGAATGTGTTGGGACCTTCATGCCTTGTTAAAAAACGTGTGATATCCGAAACAAGAGGAAATTAGTGCAATTGCGACCTAAAAGCTCAATGCTTCAGTCAGTAGTTATTGGCAAATTCACGGACATCTTTGTAACGACAATGCTTCAGCGCTGATGCCTGATAGTACAATCAGTAGTAGTGGAATGAGTCAGGAGGTTATTATATCAGAAAGCACTCATCTCAAGCTGAGGAATGTTGAGGTTAAATGTCAAAAGCATACCTGGGATGATTGCTTCACTGTCTGCAAACATTAGAAGAAGTTCAAGGGATGCTTTATCAATGTTACTTTTCGTTGGGGATTATAACATTTTAGTATAGATATGGTGTAGTTCGCTGCGGACGTTCAGGCGTGTCGGGCCGGATGAGTTTGGCGGGGTGCCAAATCCGTTCTCCACCAGTTGTTAAAGCGACCAAATGATATAAGTATATCATGCATTTACTTTTTGTCACATGCGCGCTTCAACAAGAAGCCAGGAACAGTTTGACGGGCGCTGCGTGAGCTCGTCATATACCTGACACGCCCAACTGTCCGCAGCGAACGAGAGTGTATGAACAAAGGGACAGCCAAGAATACTTTCATCGAGAGTGTTGTGAAAGCAGGAGACGTAACTCGTTGTAACTTCGTGTTACCGTGGTCTCCAGCTAAAGATGCACGATATGTGAAGGCCCGCGCAGTGCGTATTTGTGGATAGTTGTCGACTAAGTTGCATGCGTACATTGCGGCAGCGTCAGCGACTAGGAAGGTATAGATTCGATCTAGCGTCCATCAGCGTACGCTAGCGATCATCAACGTCCCGGGGACTATGGAAAGTATGGATATTGTTGTAGCGTCTACCAGCGTCCAAAACCGACCACCAGCGTCAAGCAGTACGGTATTCGTGTAGTAGTACGGTGCGTTGCACACGCCACAATTTCACGACGCCTAATCCAGCTGTCTGCTCCCTCCTACTTCCCCATACTCTACCAGCAGTCTGCTGCCCTCCTACTTTCCCATACTCTCCTCTCCTGGTCGCCTGGACGCTGGTGGACGCTGGCAGACGCTGCTGGACGCTGGCAGACGCTAGATCGATATCTACACTTTCTAGTCGCTGACGCTGCCGGACGCTCGGAACGCTGGTGGACGCTACTGGTCGCTGGTGGACGCTGCCGCAAAGTATGAACGCAGCCTTAGGTAAGCGATAGGTGAGAGGTGTATCGTGCCATTTGCGTTCTTCTGCACATAAGTTGCCTGCTTCTCTGACTGAATCGGCAGGTGTCTAGCGCCACTACGAACACACCTAAGTTCCTGATCAAGGAAACACCTTCTTGTATTACCGTTTTCATTCCTCTTCTCCACTCCACATTCATTGAGCAGGGCATTCCCTACGTTGGGGATTCCCCAACGTAGGGAAGGGTCGTATTTGGTCGCTGGGCGGAGAAGGGTCGTATTTGGTCGCTGGGCGAAGAAGGGTCGCATTTGGTCTAAGAAAATTTTTTCAGAGAGTTGATTTCTCCACGTCTCACGGGCGCTTGTAACATCGTTGGGAGGATTCCAGTGGGAGGGCGGGGGGGGGGGAGGTCGTACTTGCTCATCATTGGTAGAGGGGGAATCATATATGCTCGTCGGTGGAGGTCGTATTTGCCCGTGAGATTGCCGCCTTGCGAATTTTTCCTGGTTTGCGCCCTCCCCCCCCTTTGTTACCCTAGTTGGTGGCGTTTAACAACCACTATTAGTACTATACAGCTACTATTTACGATAGCTGAAACTAGTACTTGGTTCACACGGCAACCCTCCCTCCCCCCTCCCCCCTCGCTGCTCGGGAGCAAAATTTTTGGGGAATTTCGGAAAATGTGGTAGGAGGCTGAGAAAAGTTGGAGGACGGGGGGGGGGTGGGCGGGGTCGTAGCAGAGGATATGGGGGTCGTTATTTCCAAAAATTTCACCTAGCTGCAGGATGTGGGGGAGGGGGACCCCTCTATCCAACCCCTATTCATAGGGGTGGATAGAGGGGTCGTAACATTAGAGCCTATATCAGGTCTGCACTTACGCTCCATATCCCAAAGATGGAGAGTCCGTGGCTGCGTACTTCACTCTGACGTGGCGGCAGCTGTGCTTCTGGAGGGATATTGCACTTTCAGAACAATTGCGACGATGACCTTGTCCACTATGTACAACATGAACAACACCTGTATCGAATGGAAATATCCCACGAACAACGCATCTTACGCCATGACGTGAAGTACGCAGCCACGCCCACTGCATCGCTGGGGTGCGCCGTGTAAGTCGCTGGGAAGACGGTCGTGATCGGTTGAGAGGAGTGCTGTGGAAACCTCTGGGAAAAGACAAAAACTATCTCAGAAGGTTCGTTTTCTATCGTTCTTAGGGCGTCATGCACCTACCTTCACCGGCTGTTAGCAAGTTTCTCTGGGAAATCGAGGGTACACCCCATATCCGAGGGGAGGGCGTGGCTGCGGACTTTGCTTAGTTATAAGCACGATTAGTGACTACGATTGTACCAAGACGGCACTGTCCCACCAAAAGCGCAGCCGGTGCCACGTTCAAACGATGTATGCGCCCACTCCCTCCCGTCTCTGGGATATGGGT